GGCGGCCTGGGGTTCACTGGTTCGGATCCCAGGCGCACACTGACGCACTGCTTGGCAAGCCATGCTGTGGTGGCGTCCCATATAAAGTGGAGGAAGATGGGCACGGATGTTAGCCGAGGGCCAGTCTTCCTCAGCAAAAAAAGAGGAGGATTGGCAGATGTTGGCACAGGGCTGATCTCCTCACATACACACACAAAAAAGAAAAACGGATAGTATAGTTATGAACTGGCGCATAAAAACTGTCAGGGTTAAGTTCATGCTATCAGCATGGTCAGCCAGTTTCAGGAGGGTCTCCATAGTAGTGAGTGTCTCTGTCTTATTCCTATGCCTCGTCAACAAATTGGCATTCTGGAATCAGATCCAGATTGTTAGCAAGCATTTGGTCTGAAGTGTAGTCAACCAGCATTTCATTAGTGCCTTGTAACTGCTCGCATCGGAGCTCTTGCTATGGCCTGCAGTGTGCTGGCTCTTTAAATATATTAACTAATTATCATCACAACCTTACAAGGAAAGTATTACCCCATTTCTCAGATGAGAAGACTAAGGCTCAGAGGGTTTTCTCAAGGTCACTCAGTTAATAAGGAAGGAAGGTAGGACATAATCTTTCTGAACTTCAAGTCCTAAGCAATAAACATCAGCCCTGAGCACTGTGAGGAGGAGCTGCTCCACGGCTAAAAGGGCAGTAGTGTGCTCAGTTCACACCTGCAGCTCCTTTCCCTTTTAGTCTGCCAGAGTCACTGCACAGCTTGTTTCCCAGGGGCATCTGCAAGGGATTGTGCCAGGTCAGTGGTCCCTGACGCGGGCCCCCCATCAGAATGAGGAAAGACCCACTGAGTAAATCCAAGCCTTGAACCAACGCAGCAGAGGGACGGGCATACTGCCTCTGAACTTTTGCCCCGATTCCAAGGAGTTACACCAGGTTCCTTGGTTACACAACACAATGAACAAGATGCCCACATTCTGCTGAGCTGACGCTGCAGAGAACTCACTCACAGTCTCATCCCTGGTGACCTGGTGGACAGGGCAGCAAGGATTATCCATATTATGCTGTACATTTAGAACGTGGCTTTGTTCTCCACCTAATCCTAGCATCTGAAACAAATTCGCTGGGGAAGTCCCTATGAGGAGGCGAGAAAGAAAGATACGAGTTCCACTCTATGCCAAACACGGTGCATATTAGCATGTTACCTAATAACTCTACAAAACAAGTATTACAGATGACTAAAACTGAGGCTCCAGGGACGTTAAGAAATTAATAAGGCCAGAATTAGCAAGCGCTAGAACAGGGGTTTGAATCCAGCTCCTGCTTTCACACCACAATGCCTGCCCCACCAGAGGAAAACTCTCCTGCACGACAGGGGAACCCTGGACCCTCACTAGCAAGAGCCTCTCTTCTCCCCAAAGCAGGAAGTCATTGCCATTGAACCTGAGGCCTTCCAGAATCTATGCTCACCAAGGCCAGGGTCTGTCTGGACATTTTTTACTTCCCCATAGCACCTAGCCCACTGTTGGCACATGATCTATTTACCGAGTAAAAGATAGGCTGAGACAAAATTAAGAAATGAGAGAACAAAGTTCATGTCTTGGAATCTGAGGTCAGGCCCTGCTAGTCAATGCACAGCCTGTGGGCACGAAGAGCTCTGACCTAGCTGGTTGTGGTCCTATATCTCCTCATTGGATGCAGCCGCTCACGCCTTAGTAAGCGCCAATGCGCAAGTAACCCAGCACAGCCGATTGTACAAAGTTCATATTGTCTTTTCGCTTCTGACAAGACAAGTCCTGGCAGTCATTTCTGGTCTTCCCTCTTCACACTGCCCTCGAGATAGCCATTCTTGATAAAAAAAGACATGCAGCCTATTCTTCTTCTTACCCACCACGATTCCTCACCAAGAACTGGGGCATTGTTGGAGAAAAAGCCTATGGGGCACATATAAAAAAATCCGTGAAGACATGAAAATTAAATTCTGCCATTCTTTTCAAGGAACAGGATGAGTGATTTTATATACCAAACTATATAAAATCAAGACTATCCTATAGATAATACAAACAGGGATTAAATAAAATTTTATGTACACGAAACCTGTTTAACAAATGCTATATGAATACTTACTCTGCTTCAGCTAAATGAATAGCAGGTTAACCAGCCAGCTAAAAGAATAAAGCAACATATTAATCCAACTCACTTCTGGTCCTCTATTTGGGATAATTTATGTCACCGGCCACTAGCATGATGCCTAAAATGTGTTGCCATTCTCCCCTCAATATTTTAATATATCGAAGTTGAAAAGGGAACACTAAGAAGCCTTGGAATTCTGCTTTTAGGTCCACCACTTGTTAGTGGCCCTCTAAGCCCCAGGAGAGCACAGACAATCATATGAAGCAGGAAGGGAAACAGCTCACTAAAAGGAAAAAAAACAAGGAAACAGGTCGTGTAAGGAAATAGACTGTTTCGGGGAAATCAAGACGATAAGAGAAGTCAGACTTCATAGAATATTCTTGAAAACTGTGGAAGGGCATATCTCCCAGAAGTGAGGGAAACAGAGAAGTCTTTGTATTTTTTCCTGAGGGAACTGTGAAGTCCTCAACTTATGAAGGTGTGTGAAATAAAGCAACAAGCCACAGACTGACAGTAGACGTGAGCTTTACTCCAGCCAAGTAACCCCCATAGATCATGAAAAAGCATCCTCATACGCCACTTTATGGATTGATATTTATTCTGAAAGTGCTGGTGGAAAGAGACAGGCCCAGGAACAAGGTTGTGGCCAGAGAGAAACATTTTGGTGTCAGTAGTGACGACGTGGCTCTATAAGGCCATGTAAGATAATTGCCCAGGGATTATCTGGAGTGAAATGATGACCGAGGGAGCCCCACAGTTCATCGTTAGGTGGAAAGGAGGAACCCACATGAAGTAATAAAGCACAGACAGGAGTAGGACACAAGTCAACCAGCACTATTGCCAAAGCCAAGAGTGACAAGGAGAATGCTAAGCAGGGAAGTGGTGACAGCAAATATGGGAATGCAGAGAAACAGGACAACTTGGAAAGTATTTGTCAGCCCTGGCTAGGTCTCTGTGAGCTGTAGGGACAGTGTCAGAGGGTGGCAGGGTCTCACACAGTGGCAGGAGGTTGAGGAGGGGTGTCTGCAGCCTGGAGAGACTTCCTGGTCCCTAACAGCTCTGGGCGCCCTGTTACACACACACCCATATTGGGACATGTCTGCCCCAGAGAGGAGCCTGCTGACAGGGGCTGCGGCCGGCTCACGGCTTCGTGTTGATCAACCTGTCAAAATGCTTGGAGTAGTCAGTATATTCAATACATGACCATGAAGTCTTGAACACTTTGCAGTGTTATTAAAATAAGAGTTTAGACCCACGAAGGAGTAAGCATTAGCAACCTGGGAGATTTATTTGTAGAAAACTCAATTCCTTGCTTACATCACTAATAAGACTGTGGTAAAATTTGTACTGAAATGGCAGCTATCCAAACCTAGAGTTCCTTGTTCAAGGAGAGGAAAGATGTACTAAGTAGCTACAAAAGCAGCTATTTTGCACAAAGTATAATATATATCAGCTTCATAAAACTTCAAGGTTGGCAGGAATGCTATCACTGACAGGAGGCAAAGACAGAGCAGGTTTTGTCTACGACAACACACATTCGTGCGGACACCCTTGATGTCCAGAGCGGTGCTGAGACCTCACGCTGCTTTCATTTGTGACTCAGGCCTCCAGTGGTTACAGACAATTAACATGCTAATGACTGGTTTAAGATTTTATAATGGCTTACAATTTACATGCCACCATATGGTGCCCCGCTTGACCCAGTGGGAACCTCACACAGATACATTTTGAATTTGGTATACTGTTGCAGGAGTCAGGTGCAAGGGCAGGGTCAGCCTTAATTCCACAGGTGTCGCCGCCTCCTCCTCCCCCTGCTCCAGGCAATACCAGTGAGGAATTAGTGCCCTCCTTATCCCTCCTTCAAACTCAGCTCACCAACTCCTCAGCACTCCAGAGGAACTTGGAGAATGGGTGTTTGTATATTCATGGGAGAATAGTTTGGAGGACGCGCTCCAAACAGTTTGTATCCCCTGGGAGTGGGATTGTGGGGTGGGTGGAGCTGGAAGGAGAGAAGAAAAACAGGAAAGAAACCAAGGGCCTTACTTTTAAGCTTAAACCACGTTAGTGAAGATGCATGCAAGAAGTCTGTTTCTCATCTTCCCTGTGTCCCACGGCTCAACTCCCATTTCTTGTTTTTTTTTTTTTTTTTTTTTTTTTTAAAGAAAAAACCAGTGCTGTCCAGACAAATCACCTTTACATTTGGCTTCTATTTTTCTAACCTTGAGTATTGTCCACAGCCTCCTTTAAGAACCCAAGTTCAGACCTTGTAGATCACACTAGTTTCCCTTTTCACCTACCCCTTGCCTCCACCCCTGGGAACAAATGGGATCTGTCACCCCTCAAAACCTGCGTATTAAAGTACTCAAAGTCTTCTCCATCTTTTTTGAAGTACTTTGAAGATCTTCAGAGAAATACGATCCCTCCCTTAAATCTATAAAGTTACTGCCACACAATATCTTTAGGATTTTACCAACAAGGATTAGTTTGGGTATGTCAGGATGTGAAGAAGAACCCAAGAGGGGGAAAAAAGTGATGCGGTGCCTTCAATCACGCAGCGGGTGGAGCGGGGCAAAGAGGCAGCGGGGGTCCAAGGGTGCCTGGTCCCTCCCTGGGCAGCGTCACCGCCTTTGGATGCCGCGAGAGGGGGGAGCGCTTACCCCCAAATCCCCCTTACAAACCTGGGTGGGCTCAGCCAGCAGGGGTCAGGGAGCGTTCAAGGCCCAAGGCGCGCCCCAGGTCAGCCCACCTTCCCCTCGGAGCCCAGAGCCCGCGCTCACCCTGAGGAGTAACCCTGGGCCATCCCGAGGCCGTCACCAGCGCCCCTCCCCTCGCCGCAGCTCCTGTCGCGAATCCGAGAAGCTGGAGAAGCCCTGTCCCCGCGCACCGCGGAGGCGTTGCCCAGGGTTCCCGGGACGCGGCCCTTATCTGCACCGGCGGCTGCGGCAGCGGCAAGAGATTCGACCACTCCCGCACTCACCACTGTCACCTGTTTCGCGGACGCCCACGCACCTCCCCAGCACCACACCTGGCACCTGCGGCCAGCTGGAGGAGGAGGAGGAGACTCGCGGCCGGTTCCGCCTCTGCCCGCTCGCGCTGGCCCACTGGCGTGGGCACCAGACGGGCGGCTGGGTGCGTGCGCTGGGACCCGGGCCTCGGGGCGCGCGGGGAAGAGGGGCTCGTAGCGTGCAGGGGGATGCGGGGCGCAGGCGGCGCGGGGGACGCAAGGCGCAGGCGTGGCCCTGAGCCGGGCCAGCGCGGTACTCGCCTGATGAGGGCTTCGGCGTAGTCCCGGGCGATCTCCATCGCTCGGGTCCCCTTCTCCGGCGCGGCCTCTCCCCGCCCGCGCCGCCTCTTAAAGCGCCGCCGCCTGCCCCGCCCCGCCCGGTGCAGCCAACCCCATCGCCGCCTGACCGCGCGGTGCCGGGACCTTGGCAATGGGCTCGCCGCTGCCGAAGGTAGCGGCTTCGCGTTCTGGTTGTGCGCCCGCGTCCACGCCCTTCGGCTCCCCGCGAGAGGAGCGGCTCTCCGAGACCGCTGCAGCGAAAGGTGCCGACGACCCTTGAACCCCTGCTGCTCCGCAGGTTCCTTGATGGCGCCTGTGAGCCTGTTTGCCTCGCACGTTCTGAGGGTTGGGGCAATGGCGACCTTACCAACCCCGGCAATATGGCCTTGGCTGTGGAAAGGCAGATGTGTTGTTTTTAAACCCAGGCCACAGGTGGGAGAAGGAGGCGCAGGATGTGCGCATCAGTGACCCCCCAGGGCCGCGCGCAGTCCGCCCAGGGACTGGAGCCCCCGATGCCCTGCTCCAAGCTCCGCGAGTTGGCTGGCTCCTGGAGAGGTGAGGAATTGCCGCAGACACCTGGACCCGCAGCCCACTTCAGGCTCTCGGAGGCGCCTGGGCTTCCTTCTCGTTAGGTTGCTTCACGGCTGCATCGTGGGCGTTTGGGGGCAGTAAGAAGGGCGTTCAGTATGGAGGGACTTCATTAACAATCTTTTAGCTCAGGGTAAGGGACTTCCTCAGAGTAAGGAAGGCAAGAGAAAAACCGAGCCGGGGCTGGAGGGGGTTCTATCCACGTCCTCCGTGCGCAGATGTCCACGTCGAAAGATGCAATTCGGCGTGGTTTAGACCCTAGAAGGGAGAGGAAGGGGGGCTTGTCAGGGATTCAAGAGAGCTCTTAATTACAGAATCGAAGCAGGTTAGAGTGGAACAGTCCCTTAATTCCAGCCCTTTTAAAGATGTAAACTTTCGGGAGCAGAGGTTTGCTAGTGCATACTCTCCTGCACGTGGTCAAGCGATGGCTTCTATAAATTATCGGTAACTGCTGACTGCCCTCTTCTGAACCGTGTTTCCAGAGAGCCATAGCTTGACCTGTGCCTTCCTTCTCCCAACTCGACTTGGTTTTGGGACATTGACTTAATCCCATAAAACGTGACCCCTTCTGCCTACACTCCTCACTTTAGCTCACAGAAACACACACTTCTTCCCCGTCGGGGTCACTGGTGTGAACAAGCTTCATTTGACTTGTAGGATTATTGAGACCAAAAGCGATTTCCTTCCAGAGTCCTGGACTCCACAGGGCCTGCTGGAACTTCCCAGCCCCAGAGCACAGAGGGGGTGTTTCCTGCCCAGAGCCACTGGGGCTGGACAGGGCATTAAGAGATCATTAGCTGCGCCTCCCACTGACACCCTGCTCTGGCCTGAATGTTTGTGTCCCACCCCAAAATTCATCTATTGAAATCCTAATGCCCGGGCTGGCCCCGTGGCTTAGTGGTTAAGTGCGAGCGCTCTGCTACTGGCGGCCCGGGCCGGGATCCTGGGCATGCACCGTCGCACGGCTTCTCCGGCGATGCTGAGGCCGCGTCCCACATACAGCAACTAGAAGGATGTGCAGCTATGACATACAACTGTCTACTGGGGCTTTGGGGGGAAAATAAATAAATAAAATTATAAAAAAAAAAAGAAATCCTAATGCCCAATGTGATAGTATTAGAAAGTGGGGCCTTTGGGAGGTGCGTGAGTCATGAGGGTGGAGCTCTCATGAAAGGGATTAGTGCATTATAGAAGAGGCTCCAGAGAGCTCCCTAGTCCCTTCTGCCGTGTGAGGACACAGTGAGAAGGTGCCGGCTGTGAACCAGGAAGGGAGCTCGCACCAGAACCTAGCCGTGCTGGCACCCTGATCTTGGACTTCCAGCCTCCAGAACTGTGAGCAATAAATTTCTGTTGTTTGTAAGCTACCCATTCTGTGGTATTTTGTTGTAGCAGCCTGAACAGACTATGACATGCCCCCAATTTGGTAGATGAGAAAAGGGGTCCAGTCCATTCAAGTCAACTCACCTTTTAAAAAACTTTTTATTGGGAAAAATTTCAAATATAAAGACAGATAGAAAGAACATTACATGAGCACCCTTATACCCTATGCCTGGATTCAACTGCTATTAACATTTTGACATATTTGCTTGTTATTTATCTGTATTTTTATTTTAACCCCTTTACATAAAATCCTTCGACTTACATCTCTGAAGAAAAGGAACATTCTCATACATACCGTAGTGACATTATCACTCCTAACAAAATAAAAATTATCTCCTACTAGCATCTAATACTCACTCTATAGTCAAGCTCCCCCACCATTCCAATTTAATCAACCTTATAAGGCCCCGTCCCCGTGCCTGAGACACAGGCGTTAGACCGGTTCTGGAGCAGTAAAAGTCAGGATCACAGGAGATTCTCACACACCAATAACCAATCAGGGCAGTAGGTGCAATTCATTTACTTATTCCTACTGCTTAGAGAGGTGTCGAAGTCAGAGGGCATTTAGTGTAGGCTTGTTAATGACTGACTGAATGAATGAGGTGCTATGTTAGCAGTAATACACGAATGCAAATTGAATCCTGCCTAAAGGGTGTCCAGGAAGGGTGAGTGAGGTGAGTGGTGCGTGGGGGTGATTGTGACTATTCTGCATGGCTTTTAGGAAGAGCAAAGGCACAGAGGGACAGTAATGGTGTGTCTGGCAGTCTTGGGTGTGTGTGTGGGGGGGTTCTGGAGGAGAACAGTAGGAACCAGTTGGGGCAGCTGTGTCAGAGTGAATCTGCACAGCTCTGAACACACAGTGGGTATTGCTCTTAGTGGGGAAGCAAAGGACATGGCAGGGTGACCTGTTCAGACATAGATTTGCAAAGATCACTCTGGGGGTGGCACAGAGGCCAGACTGGGCCAGGGGTAGCCTGTAGGTGATTCTAGTAAAAGATGTCAAAGGGTAAGAGCTGGTCATGGAGAGGAAGGAGGAGCCAAGGAAGATTTTACAGGATGTGGTGATGCACAAAAAGTGGAGCAGCTGAGATGACTCTAGTATTTTTAGATTGGCTGACTAGAGTGGCGGTGATGCCCTTAACTGAGATGAGAAACGCAGGAGGCAAAGTTGTAGTTGAGGCTGAGATTATGTTGAAACCCTTGGGCCTGAAGACCACACCAGACAGAGATATGGAGAAGAACCCATGGGCCTATAGACCACGTGGGACAGAGATGTGGAGAAGAACCCATGGGCCTGTGGACCACGTAGGACAGAGATGTGGAGAAGAACCCATGGGCCTATAGATCACACCAGACAGAGATATGGAGAAGAACCCATGGGCCTGTGGACCACATTGGACAGAGATGTGGAGAAGAACCCATGGGCCTATAGACCACACCAGACAGAGATGTGGAGAAGAACCCATGGGCCT